GAAGGGGTTCGTCGCAGGGCTTCCTTTTCCAGTAGCGTATTGACTTTCAAGGGAGCCCTGAGGACCGCAGGCCCCAAGTACTTTGGGTCTTGGGACAAAACGCCGTTCTGGAATCGCAACGACATTGCTGGACACGATAAAATCCACCCCTAAGCTACAATGCCCGGGATCATGTACAGCGCAAACGGGGTTTTCGGCGATCGTAAGTGGCTTACACGTCAGGGATGTTTTATCATGGGATATCGGCAGAAAAATCGAACCGAGTGCTAAAAAAAAAAAATTTGAAATTTTTTGAAAAAAAAAATATTTAAAAAAATGACCCCACGTCCCCAAAAAAAAAAAAAAAAAAAAATTGATTCCCAGAGCTATAAGTAATGAGTGTTTAAATATTTTACCAACCCTTTCAATGCTTCGGGTTGGTATCTACGTAACGTACACGCTACGCGCATAGCGCGTACCGAAGATTGCGTTTCCTCGGACAAGCTAAATAAATTAGGGGAAGATATTAGACGGGCTCTAAAGTACGCTTTAAAAAGTCCTAACAAATGGGCTTTTTTCGGCCTGCACGTATTACTCTCTGCTTATTAGGAGAATGTTCTGTCACGGGTAAGAGAGAGAGAGGGTGGAAAAAAAAAAAGAAAAATCCAGCCGAGGTCTTCCCATGGACTTTTTTTATATCTCTAGCAACAATTTCCGGTACGGCTACTAATCTATCCTCCGTTATCGTTGCGTAACCGAGCGGAAAAGTCTCTAGGATGACCGAGCTGCTAGACTGGAAATTTCGTGCAAACACCTTTACAATTAGGGCGGAGAGAGGCTGGCGTTTAATTTAAATAGAAAGTACATCCCCAATTTAGACGGGGAGGGGCGGGCGGGCGGGCGGTTACTATAATTCTTCATGAGAATTCACCGTCGTGGAATTGCCAGCCAAGAAATCTCATAATGGAGCCATTAAACTGGAGGATCTTGAATAAGAAAACAAGTGGGACTTTCAGGGCTTAAGAGATATCATCTGTCTGACTATCGAATGGAATATCTACTTAACTACTGTGTATATAGAGATATCATTAGAAAAGACGCACGACCTAATTCCTAGGTCTTTAATATATCGAGAGACTCTGGTCCGGAGGGGTTTTTTTTTTTTCTTAAATCCCGATTTATCCCTGTTAGATTTTTACACAGCTCGATTGAGCGATTAGATACATGAGATATCGAAGAACTTTTAAAAATTCTTCAATTATGCAGAACGATTTAATAATTAAAAAAAAAAACATTTTCATTATTTTTACATAATTTCGAACTGTCACCTACCTTGGTTCCTGTTTTTTAAGTGTACCTGGCATTGGTAATAGTATTTCGATATTTTTTGACAGATGAACTCACAGCACTCTTGTACTTGGTATAGTTTTATACACCTGCTTTTTTTTTGTGTGTGTGAGGGGGGGGGTTATATATATATACATCCGAGTGCATAACAGCATTTAAGAGGGCAATGATGAAATTTCGCAGCATCAGTTTAAAACAGTAAATTAAGACAGATCCAATAGTTTCCCATACAGCAGGGACATTCGTATGCACATAAATATAGCATAATACACGTATGAATAAGTGGCCATATGCAATATAGTAGGCGACTACCTAACCTACACTTGGATCATACCACCCAGTAGTAATTTAACCGGAACGTAAAACTTTTTACGATATTTTAATCCGCTCGATTGGCGTTCCGGGGCCTGCGGTAGAAAAGAAATGGCGCACAAGGGGACCGAAGTCGTTACGCACTTGAGAAACGTATAAAGAGAAGAAAGAAAAGAAAAATGAAAGATCCAGCCTGTGCAATTGACGATGAAATACGCGACCCCGTAAAACCACCACTCTGTCCCACTTTATATCCAAGTCCTCCTCCCTGACGTTTCCTCATAGTCATTTTTATCCCGGCGATTCTAATCAAGTGCGCCGCACGAAATTCCCGCCAGACGTCGCTGCCTACGTCCTCACCTCGCGACTTTCATGCCTTCCCGCGGCTTGTCCCCGCGACTTGTATGGCTAATTCAATTATATTCTCTTGTGCAATGACGGAGTCAAGACCGGTATATAATTTTTTTTAACTCAATCCCACGCCTATGCTTCGCTATCCCACGTTATACATATATTCACCGAGAAGCGTAAACTAGTTACAGCGCCACTTCCGTTTATCTCGACGGAGTTTCACGATGAATAAACAGCAGTCGACGTTCCTTCGAAACAATTTAATCTACATAAGCTAACAGCTACCTGTCTACACTGCGGGGCTTCGCGCAGTCGGTTGCTCTGCACCTTTCGAGATGCCACGAATGCACGCGGATGCAACCTGAGGTGCATTTGGTGTGTTGTAGAGTTGCTGGTGCATTCCGCAGAGAGTATAGAGGGGATGGTGATGTCTTAGATCTGGTGACTCAAAGGGATTG